TCCTATTAAGTCCAAATTATTTCATAAATGTCCAGATTGACACTTTTTGGTTTCAATTGCAATAACTTTGCAATTGTAGCCCATGCATACATTATTGCATTATTTTACCAGAAATTGGTCCATTGTATTTTTAAAATACTAAATAATTATTTTAAAATATTTATATGCATAAAAATAATTTTTTATAATTAGTTAATTATTTCTCAAATTAATTTTATTCAATTGTTTGGGTATTTAATAAATAGCCCCTTTTTGTTTTAAATTTTAACCCAAGAGACCAACCCAAGACCTCTTATAATTTGGCCCAACTCCTTAAGCCCAAAACTTAGCATGCCCGACCCAATACCATGACCAATCCTGGCAAATGATCAACGGTCCAAATTTCCCCTACCATAATTAAACCCTAATGATCCCCCTTACACCCTCTCATTTCCACCCTCCCCCCGGTCACCCTCTCTCTTCTCTCTCAAACGCACTCTACCTAAACCCTAATCCTCAGGCGTCGTCACCGGCTTAGCCCTCCGTTCTATGATATTTCTTTGTCGTCTCAGACCTATACTGACCTTCTACTTGCTATGGTTCATTAGTTTCCTAGATCCTTGAGAAGATCTCAAGGGACCTAGGCGGTCTGGCTTGCACCTTTGATTTCTTTGCTTGTTTCAGGCCGTTTGCTCGACCATGAGTAAGAAACCTTTCTTATTTGCTATGAATCCATGGTTTTCTAGGCCTATGTTCTCGTCTCTGTTATTCTTTCTAACAAAAACCCTAATTTATTATCCCTGATCTTCTCAGATTTGTATAGATCTGAGACGAATCGGGCAACTCTTACATATTGTCCTTGAAAATTTTTCGGTTTCAACTGATTTCCCAATTTTTCCTAATTTAGGTTTCATTATAAGTCATTTTCTCAAGGTCGTTATGATTTTTAAATGTTTAATCGATTATCCTTTTATGTTCTTGATTGATTTATGCAAAAGTTGCTTAAACCCTAGTCGATTTATGTGAAACTCTATTTTTTTTATTTTTTGCTTCGATTTTGAGTTTTTCAGTGTTACCAGTTGTATTGATTCACTCTGTATCTTTCACCTACATGATTTTCCTTTGTCAAATGCATTGCTCTATGATTTTTGCCCTAACTAATCTCTATTAGGATTTTTGAATCAATTTTCTGGTTAACTTCTCTATGTTTATAAAGTTTTACTTAGTCTACTTTATTTGTGGGAATCAATGTATTCTTTCCAGAATTATTGTTAATCTGGTTGATTGATTTGCTCTGTTTAGAATCTGTACTCCTAAGTCTTGCCCATTTCTATGATTACGACCTTAATTAGTCGTTCTTGCCTTATTCGATTGCTGTATATTTACTGATTCTTTCCTTAATTAGACCTCTAATTATTTACTCCTTTATTTGGTCTGATTTGAACCTCTTTTCTTAATTAATCCTATTATTACCATTGGCTAATTGCTATTAATTAAGGGAAGACTATGCTGAACTTTTTGTATGATTGGATTCTGAGATCCCTTAATTGCTGATTATTGATTCCTTTACCTTATTTGCTCTACTCTTGAACTACTATATAAACTCTCTTATTTAACTTCTTAACACACGAACACAAGTTCAAAGAACACACACATATACACACACACTCAAACTCTCTTTTCTTTCTCTGTTACTTGTGATACTTACTGGTCTAGCCGGCTGAAAGTCAAGGCTAAACATTGGAACTGCACCTACTTTACATTTTGTACTCTTTTCTTCAACTGGTATGTCTCTAGTTCAGTTTTGAAACTCAACTCTATTTGTTCTATGTTTACTCTTGCACTAGTTTGATTGGTTATGAATTCAAGTTGTCCTTTTGTTTACTGTTTTACCCTGCATGTCTAGATTCTGTCTCCTTTTGCTCAAGCACGTAATCAGTATGTCCTGACTTCATTGATGGTTTGATACTGGCTAAGCATGTTTTTGTTACTCCCTTAGATTGGTGTGATCATAATTAGTAGCTTAATCCCCTAATGAACTTAACTGTATGTCTAATCCTGTCTAAGACACCCTTGTTTTCCACATGATTTTACTACATTTTCGCTATATGTCTTAATTGTCTATTATCATGTCTAGCCTATTAAGTCTCTAAGACTCCTAAGTGTCCTGTGCATTTGTTGTCTATATGTCTTCCCTGTACCCTGTTCATGTGCCCCCTTAACGTGATTTTTATATGTTCCCAACCCCCTTTACCCTTGTGTGAGATCTGCCTGTCTCTGAATCTGGGTATTCTATGACTGATTGCTTGTTTGCTGAATTTTCTCTCTTCAGAACTAATTTCAAAATGTTCTTAGTATTCTTCTAAAAGCTGGTTTTCATTCTTCGCACCTTCTTAAAACTGGTCTATTTTAGAAAATATTTTTCGCTCCTAAAAGTTATCTCCACACTATTTTGCACTAAGTCTTTCAAAACTATGTCAAGCACTCTCATTTTACTCTTAGATTATTAAGTTCTGCCCCTGGTATGTGTACTGCTTAGGGATCCTTGAGATCTCTCTGAACTCTGGCATACTGGGGCTGGCTCTTCCACACTGCACATAACCGGTCCCTATTTGAGAAAGGTCTTGGTGTGAGCACTGCCCGGGATCCTTGAGGTCCTTAGGGAACTTTGACACACTTGGACACTCAATGGCTATGAAATTCTTGGCATTTTGAGACTATATTGAAGGCCTGGTACTCCCAGGTTTACTTTGGGCTTGCTTCAGGCTCCCTATAGTATAAGTTTACATTTCATCTATGTAATTTATTCAATCCTGGTCTGTAATAATCCTTTGTAAACAGATATTGGGGTAACTAGTAAAAAGGGAGGGTTGCTATATGATTCTGTGGGGGTAAACTGGGTAGAAATCATGCGTTAGGTTTTATATTATGTTGAGCTGCTGTAGAAATCATGTTCTAGGTTTGTGTGGTGCAATATATATCATGCTTCAGGATTGCTATGCTTATTTGCATTAAACCATGCTAAATTTGTTCATTAGATATCATGTCTTAGGATATTCACATTTATTGCTTTCGCCTATTAGAAATCATGCTGTAGTTCATCACCTTATCTCTGATTCTGCTCAAGTCATAATCACCTAGAAACTTATTGATAAAATCACTGCTATAATTATTCTTAGTCAAATGACCACCTATCTCTGTGCATTAGAAATCCTGCCTTAGGTAATCATGTTTACTACATTCATTGCATATTGGAAAACCTGCTATAGTTTGCCATTTCTGATTTCTGCCTAATCACCAAGCAATCATATTATTAGGTTATTACTAATGCTGCCTAATAGAATGACCTTCTCCATATGCATTAGAGATCTTGTTTAGGACTGCATATGCATTTGCCTTGAAATATGCCGCTTAAATAAATAGGTTAAAAACAGCCCCACACATAGGTATCATGTTCTAGTATAAATATGTATAAAATCGACTGTTATAATATTCATCACTTGGATCAGAATTCCTATAGGATGAAATAACTTCAAATTGTTTAAATAGCTCCCAGAATTATGATTGCATATAGTCCCACGCCTAGGAAAACTTTAGGTAATTAATGTTCTGATAAAAAACTGAGAAATTGTGCTTTGATTATTTATAAACTGCTCAAGTTTAACAGGTTTTTAAAATCAGTTGGCAACCTGATACTGATTAGGATTCTGTCACTTTGCTTTAAAAATAATGCTGCATATTCTGCGTTTGTGATGCTCACCTAGATACCCAGTTCTAGAATTTCTCTGAAATTACCTAAAATCTGTGTTTGAGATGTAATGTTTATTTGCCTATATATATGGAGGTAAACATGAGTGTATACGGTAAAATCGGAGGGTCAAATTTTCCGTCGTTATGATGGCTCGTAAGCATATTTCACAAGGTTCAAGACTAGGGTCGAGGCTCGCCCTCGAAGGCTACCGACGCTCGACCTTGGGGAAACACAGACCAACGACCATTATGGAAAGGTTGGGAGTTCCCAAGGTGCACAACTAGGGCTGATGAAGTCTAATAAGCTAAGTTCAGACCCGGATCGTGGTGTCAACTAGCTGTCCCATCCCTATATCTTTGTAATTAATGCACTTGTACTATGTTGGGATTCCCCTTCTTATATAAAGGGGATCCTTTTTATTTTGGAGGGGTCTATTGCTCCATATTAAATATATTAGAACATTCTCTCTTCTCTTTAACACATTCTCTTTGTTTCGTTATCTTATTTATTGCTCGTATTTATTGTGTTCTATTTATTATTCATCATTTATTGCTTATTATTGGCCATAAGGAGCATCCTTTGATCTATTCATAACTATTATTCACCATCGACCGCCTTCGATAGCTCCCAGCTGAGCTTCAAACTCGACCCCGAGGCCCTCGAATAGGCAAGCTCGAGGCCCCGATTGGCAGTGATTCGGTTTGATTAACACCTCGTTCTTAAGCTCTCATTTCGTTTCTAAGTCTTTCACATAGCGTCAACTGCATAACAACTAGCATAAAAATAGATCACATATTTTTAGAACCACTAAATCAAATTTAATTGTTATTACCATTTTCACGGTAAACAGTTTGGCACCCACCGTAAGGCTAAACATAATAGTAATTATTTTCTTGCTGGTTTAACTACATAACGCATGTTATCTTTGACACTTTTTCTTGCCCAAGACCTTTGATTTCAGGTCAAAATGTCTGACTCAGTAAACAACAATCTTGAGAACCATGGAGAAAATGATGTAGATGTTCCAGGTGCTGGTGTGCCACCATGAAACCCTGAGAACACACCGGAGCCGATTCCCAAGGATACGACCTCGTGCGATGCCCGAGGCGTTAATGCCGATCCTCACATTAACTAGGAAGCACGCCGAGAAACTCAGCGGGAAACTTGGAAACACCCAACCTGGGCCAAAAGAAATATTTCTCGACATGTCGTTCATGTGATTATTGGGAGGACCGACATTCCCCAAGGACCCCTGATCAAACGGACAAAAATGTCCACTGCAATTGAGGGGCCGATCCGAGACCGCATGACCGAAGACACCCTCGCGTTCAGCAAGGAGGACCTCGAGACCTTGGTAGAACCATACAATGACGCACTAGTAATTTCATTCCTTTTAATCAACATTCAAATTAAACGTGTACTCATGGATCCAGGCAGCTCGGCCAATGTAATCAGGTCAAAGGTAGTGGAACAACTTGGGTTGCTCAACCAAGTCGTACCTGCCTCTCGGGTCCTCAATGTCTTCAACATGGCCGGCAAAATAACGAAGGGAGAGATCATCCTCCCGGTTGATGTGTCTGGTACAATTCAGAATACCAAGTTCCACGTCATCATTTGTGACACGAGGTACAACGCATTGCTTGGTAGGCCATGGATACACAATATGAGGGCGGTGCCGTCAACTCTGCACCAGATGATAAAATTTCCAATGAAAGATGGCATAACAACCATATATGGTGAACGATATATGGCAAAAGAAATGTTCACAGTTTACCAGGAGGCACCAAGCCCCATACACTCCACCTTGGATGAATCTAGGAGCATACAGACCCCCGAGGACGATGAAGAAGATTTCCTTGCCCCTTGAACTTTTGTCGCCCCCGAAGAGGCGGATGCAACAAAATCGACAATTGAAGAACTGGAGCAAGCTGTTTTGATTGAGCATCTCCCGGATCGGAAGGTATACCTGGGAATGGGATTAACCCCCGAACTCAGGAAAAAACTCACTCAATTCCTTATTAACAACATCGACTGTTTTTCTTGGTCCCATTTAGCTATGGTTGGAATCTCGCCAGAAATAACAACCCACCGATTAAGTGTCGACCCTAGGTTTAAACCGGTGAAGTAAAAAAGAAGACCCCAGTCCGAGGTAAAAACACGCATTCATCAAAGACGAGGTATCGAAACTCCTTAAAATAGGGTCTATCAGAGAGGTAAAGTATCCCCAATGGCTGTCCAACGTAGTGGTAGTGCCCAAAAAGGGAAATAAGTTAAGAATGTGCATAGATAATAAATATTTAAATAAGGCGTGCCCCAAGGATAATTTTCCATTGCCTAACATCGACCATCTGATTGATGCTATGGCTGGCCATGAGACCCTTACCTTTCTCGATGCCTACTCGGGGTGTAACCAAATTCAGATGAACCCGAGGATAGGGAAAAAACTTTGTTCATCATGAAGTATGGTACCTACTATTACAATGGAATGCCCTTCTGGCTAAAAAACGCAGGGGCCACATACCAACATCTAGTTAATAAAATGTTCGAGTATCAAATAGGCAAATCCATGGAAGTTTATATCGATAACATGCTAGTTAAATCCCTGCGCGCAGAGGACCATTTGACTCATTTGCAGGAAACATTCGACATCCTCAGAAGTTACAACATGAAGCTTAACCCTGAGAAATGTGCCTTTGGAGTAGGTTCGGGTAAATTTTTAGGCTTCATGGTATCGAACAGGGGGGATCGAGATCAACCCCGACAAAATAAATACCATCAAAGAAATCACGGTGAAAAATAATGTAAAAGTCGTGCAACGGCTGACGGGGCAAATAGCGGCTCTAGGGAGATTCATATCAAGGTCATCGGACAGGAGTCACCATTTCTTCTCCTTACTCAAAAAGAAAAACAACTTCGAGTGGACTCTGAAATGCCAACATGCCTTAGAGGAACTGAAGAGGTATCTGACTAGTCCGCCTTTGCTCCATACGCCAAAAGAGGATGAAATGTTGTATCTATACCTAACCGTATCCGAAATAGCGGTAAGTGGTGTGCTAGTTCGAGAAGAGCAAGGTACGCAATTTCCTATTTCTTATGTAATTCGGACCCTAGGGAATGCCAAAACCAAGTATCCGCACCTAGAAAAATTAGCTCTTGCATTGATAAGCGCATCAAAAAAGCTAAAACCCTATTTTCAATGCCATCGTATCTACATTTTAACAACGTACCCTTTCCGAAGCATATTGCATATGCCCGAACTATCAGGCCGATTGGCCAAATGGGCCATCAAACTCGGGGGGTACGATATCGAATATCAACCCCGAACGGTCATCAAGTCCTAGATTCTAGCGGACTTCATAGCCGACTTCTCACCCTCCCTTGTGCCCGAGGTAGAAAAGGAACTCTTGCTAAAATCAGGCGCATCTTAAGAGGATTCCAGCTCGGTATAGTCCTGAAGCCTACCAAGGGCGGCACAATCAGGCAATCTATAAAAACTGCAAAATTGACTAATAATGAAGCCGAGTATAAGGCTACGATTGCAGGTCTGGAATTGGCCAAAATCCTGGGAGCTGAGTCCGTCGAAGCAAAATGCGATTCACTCCTGGTAGTAGACCAGGTAAATAGGAGCTACGAGGTCCAAGAAGATAGGATGCAAAGGTATTTGGACAAAATCCAAATCACATTACGCCGTTTAAAAGAATGGACCCTGGTCCACATACCTCGTGAGCAGAACAGCGAGGCTGATGCCCTCGCAAATTTGGGATCATCTGTTGAAGAAGATGATCTACTCCCTGGGGCTGTTATCTAGCTCTCCAAATCAGTGGTCGAGGAAGGTCATGTCGAGATTAATTCTACTAGCCTAACATGGGATTGGAGAAATAAATACATTAACTATCTGAATGATGGAAAATTACCCGCGGGCCCAAAGGAATCAAGGGCCCTGCGAACCAAAGCATCCTAATTCTTTCTCGATGAAAATGGGACTCTATACAAAAGAACCTTCGATGGCCCCCTAGAAGTATGTCTGGGGCCGGGGGACACAGACTATGTACTCCGAGAAATCCATGAGGGTTTTTGTGGAAATCACTCCGGCACCGATTCCTTGGTCCGAAAGGTGATCAGGGAAGGCTACTACTGGGACAACATGGAAAGGGACACTAAGGAATTCGTTCAAAAGTGCGACAAGTGCCAAATATTTTCCCTATGATTCACCAACCCGGTGAACAACTACATTCAGTCTTATCGCCATGGCCATTCATGAAATGGGGAATGGACATCGTCGGACCCCTACCAACAGCGCCAGGTAAAGCTAAATTCACTTTATTTATGACTGACTATTTCTCAAAATGGGTGGAAGCGCAGGCCTTCGAGAAGATAAGAGAAAAAGAAGTGATTGACTTCATCTAGGATCACATTATGTGACGATTCAAGATTCCTTTTGAGATAACATGCCATAATGGGAGGCAGTTCGTTGGAAGTAAAGTAATACAGTTCCTTGAGGATCACAAAATCAAGAGAATCCTGTCAACGCCCTACCACCCGTGTGCAAACGTCCAGGCCGGATCCACAAACAAAACCATCATCCAAAACATAAATAAAGTTGGAAAGCGCTAAAGGAAAATGGAGAGAAATATTGCCCGAAGTGCTGTGGGCATATCAAACAACTTCAAAGACAAGTACAGGGGAAACGCCTTTCTCTCTAGTATATGGTGCTGAGGCCTTGGTACCAGTGGAGGTCGGGGAGCCAAGCGCCAGATTCCGACACACCATGAGAGCTCGAACAACGAGGCTATGACCACGACCCTCGAACTATTAGATGAAAACTGAGAAGCCTCGCTAGTCCGAATGCCGCCCAAAAGCAAAGGATCGAAATGTATTACAATAGGAGAACAAACCTTCGACATCTCGGAATTGGGGACTTGGTCCTAAGGAAAGTCACCATCAACATCCAAAACCCTAACGAAGGAAAGCTATGCCAGAATTGGGAAGGACCGTACCGCGTCCTCGGAGTAAGCTTGGCACCAAAGGGTCCTACAATATCGACACCATGGAAGGCGAGAAGCTTCCAAGAAATTGGAACATATCGATGCTGAAACAATACTACTACTAAGGCATGCGTTGCACTCTTTTCCTTCAACTCGATTTTATCCCAAAAAGGGTTTTTACCGGCAAGGTTTTTAACGAGGCAACATCTATATGCTACCTAAGGAAAATCCAACAAGTATTCAAGGCTTCTTTTGCAACCAACCTCAAATACTGGGGGCCATCCCCCCAGAAGGTCGCCTACTCAGAGAAGCCAAGATACGCCAAACGGGGGCTCAATAGGAAAGTAATATACCAGGATAAATGGTCGAACTAACCGTGTCCGCATAGAACAACGAGCCCACAACAGTAAAAACATGTATACTTGCTCAAAGTAATCAAAAAATACTTCCCAAAAACATTTTGCATTTCAAGAAAGCTCGACATTTTTGCAAAAAAAATAAACGGCCTCAGAGCAAAAAAATGTCCCGAACACTCAGGGACTAGCGTCAACAACTTAAAATAATGTGACCCCCGTGTCGAAGCTCCTAACTCATAATCCCTCAATGAAGCAACATCAAGATCACAAAGTGGCGCCAGAGCCAAAAACATTCTGAACACTTGGGGACTGGCATCGAAAACTCAAAGGCTACACAACCTCCGGGTCGAAAACTCCAAAATCATAAGCCCTCGATGAGGCAATACCAAGTTCACAAGCAATGCCTCCCGAGCCAAGAAACCCTCGGCCACTCGGGGACTGCCATCAATCGCCATCTCTATCGACTTATCAAAACTCGAGGCCATAAGACCACATGCGGGCAGCCTCGATCTCGTAAGACCTGCATAAGGCAACAACAATATATGTAAGACCTCAAGCAAGGCATGAACCATACTTGTACCAAGTATCCAAAACTATAAGACCTCAAAGGCATATAAACTTGTAAGACCTTACTGAAGGCATAAATCCGATCTCAAAGTTTCGGCTATATATCGAACTTATAAGACCCCTAAAAAGGCATACCCTCGATATAGACGCCGAAACTAGTTCACTCGGGACTTAAAGGCTCCCAAACACAATGACTCCAGTCACAAGGCTGTACCAGCCAAACTAACGCGACTTAGGGACCTGTCACTACAAATAACATACCTTCAATTACTTCGAATATACTTCAGAAAGAACCGGTTAAATAGGCTACCCTCGACATAGGCAAAAGAGCTTCAACCACGTCAGCTCCTAAATAACTAGCTTCAAGATACTCAGCCTCTGAGCCAAACCTTCCGAGGTGCTCGATCATCGCCAGATAATGACTCACAATCGAGGTTTTTATTAAGCCGTCGAAGACTAAGGCAAACATTATTTCAAAAAGCCCTTAAGGAGGGAAAATCAAAGCCTATATAAAAGGTCGCATCGACCCAAGGCGTAAGAGCCATTATCGCCAGCCCACATTAAAGGTCGCATCGACCTAAGGCGTAAGAGCCATTATTGCTAGCCCACATAAAAGGTCGCATCGACCTAAGGCGTAAGAGCCATTATTGCTAGCCCACATAAAAGGTCGCATCGATCCAAGGCTTAAGAGCCACTGTTGCCAACCCACATAAAATGTCGCATCGACCCAAGGCATAAGAGCCATTGTTGCCAGCCCACACAAAAGGTCGCACCGACCCAACGCGTAAGAGCCTAAGGGCCAGCTTGCAATTCAAAAACTTGAGGGTCAAATTAGCTCGAGTCGTAACCCGATTCGGAGACTGAACCCAAAATAGTGTATTAAATATGCCCAAGAGCAAACACATAAGAGCCATTGTCGCCAGCACTAAAAATTAAAGGTCGCACCGACCAAACGCGTA